ACAAATGTCAAGCGTAAAAAATAGAGTAAAACTATTTGAAAAACCAAAAGAAATTAACAATAATATCACAAATAAAGCGAATAGTACCACCAGTAAAATAAACATTAACAAATTCAATACAAATAACAAACTTACTTCTAACAAAATTAATATTACCACCACTTATAATGTCTCTAATAATAAATTTAAAACTAAACACTCTGCTGGTAACTATAACACTAATGAAAGCGAAAACAAAGCTGATAATAAAATCATTGCTGGCAATAATATTATTGTCAAAAATAAAGATGCAAAAGTTACCACCACTACCACCGCCATCGCTCCTATTACTACAAAACTTACAAACTCCATATCAACTTCCTCCACAAATACTAACGGCAACATTAAAACTATCACCAGCTCTGACACTGATATCTCCAACATAAACAATAATAATACCTTTAGTAATAATAATAACAATAATAATAGTAATAAGGGTAGAAAAAGAAGCAGTGGCAGTAGTAAATCCAATAATTTCAAACCAATTAATTCCACTTCCACCACTTCTCTAAATAGTAAAACTGGGCCTATTAGTAGTATAGGAAAGGATCATAATAAGGAGATATCTTTAGATTTTTCAGAAAATGATTTACAAAAATTATTATCAAGTCCTGATATTAATAATATAGATTCAAAAGATTTGTTAAAAGCAGCTACTGTGGTGAAAGTACCCCCAACCCCTAATCCTGCTGCTGCTGTAATAACTTTATTAGCCTCAAAAATTTCTGCTTTAGAGGGTGAATTAGAAACTGTTGGCAAAGAGATGGCTGAAAATATTAAACGTGAAGTAGATTTAGAAATGGAATTGGATAATGTTGTAACACAAAAAGAAGAAGAAATACAGGTTGCTACTAAGCCATTGGTTATTAAAATAAGTCAACTGGAAGCTGACATATTACAATACAAAAAAATGAATTCTATTTCTTCATTAGATAATATCCCTTCAAGTACAGGATCTTCAAGAGATTTATTAAATAATAAAAAACAAAATGCTGAAACAGAATTCAATCAACTCAAATTAGAACTTGAGGAATTAAAAAAATCAAATGAAAACAAATCAAATGAAATCAATGAATTAAATGAAATAATAAAAAATCTAGAGAAACAAAGAGATGAACAAGGTAAAATATTGGACGAGCATCAAAAAGGAGCACAGGTATTTATAAAAGATATGGCGTCAGAAAGAGAGCAATGGAGACAAAAAGAACAAGATATTATACTAAACCATGAATCAATTGAACTAAAAATGAAACAAAAAGAATCAGAATTAAGCGCTGTACAAGATGAATTGATGAGCACAATTAAAGAGAAACAAACTATGAAACAGAAATTGAGGCTAATTGAAAATGAATTAGCAAAAACAATAGATGAAAAGAGAAAACTTTCAGATCAATTAACAGATACAAAGAGACAATTGGATAAATTTAAAGAACAAATAAAATCGATCAAATTAATGGGTAATGATGAAGACAATGACAATAACAACGATGATGAACTATTATATAAAAAAATGGATAAATATAAACAAGAATCAGAAGTGCTTCAACAGCAGCTTGAAACTTTAAATAAAAAACTTTCTGAGAAAGACGATGAACAACACAATCTTATTCAAACACTTGAAAAAGCAACTTTACAAACAGAAAAAACTGTAGTAGACAATGAAGCCAAATTCAATACATTAACAAAAGATCATCAGAAAACATTAAATTCATTACAAAAACAGCATGAAGATGAAATAAAAAAGATTACAGATCAATTGATAGAGGAGAAACGTATAACTGAAAGAAAAATCAAATCTCTAGAAATGAAACTTGAAGATGTAAGTAGATATAATCTTGTCTTTAATATCAGAGAATTGGAAAATTATTGTTAACACCAATGCTAATTACTAATCATATCATTACTATTAGGTATTATCTAAAAATATGGAATTAACAATTGAATTAAGTTCAAAATAGTTTCAAATAATAAAACTAAAGAAAACTATTTATGTTATTTAAATAATTTTTCAAAGTATTATAATTTTTTTCTTCTGCAAACTTTTTAAATTTTTGCAATTTTTCAATGATTTCTTCCCCTTTCGTCATTGATGATTCATCAAGTTGTATGTTCAAATAATGAATTAAAAATAATTCAAAATCTTTGTTATTGGTTATATCTTCATTACAATATGAACATTCAAAATTATTAATATGATAATTATCCACTTGTCCACATTCACACGCATATCCAATAACATCGTGACTTTCTTTACTAGAAAGATTTTTTACATCATCGCTATAAACGCTCATTCCTTGCATAATACATAATAAACTTTTTAGTTGTTGGGATCTTTCTTTTCCTACCACCATTTCCAAAAGTGTACATACTATACTAATATACAATGTTGCACTTTTCTTCTTCAGTATTCCAATAAAACTATTCACTTTGTTGCCAGTATTTGTCATTAATTCACCTGGACTTATTTTATCATCACGACACCAAAATATAAAATCTCTCAAAAATTCTTTAATATGTTCTTTTGTTATGTCCTCAATATAATTTACTTTCTCTACCATTTGCAATCTTATAACATAATTCAGATCATAGTCTGCTTCATTATCTTCATTAGCCCCTTTAATTCCAACGTAATTATCTCCATTTAACCATATCAGCGCTGAATATGTTTCACTTGCTCTGATCACTAAATATTTAAACTCATCCTTTTTCAACAAAGCTAATACATGCTGAAGACATCTTGCTGCTTCATCTGCATTATTAGTTTTAGTTGAAAATACTAATCTTTTAAAATCACAATGAATTATTTCTATTCCATATTTTATAATTTCCTTGACAAATCCATTTATCTAATTTCAATAATAATTAAAAATTATTTGCCTAATCAATTAAAAAAAAAATATATATATATATAAATATAAAGATTTATCTATAATCTCACCATATCTCTTGAAAGAATATTCATAAAAAACCTTATTTCTGAATCATACAAAATCGATCCACTGTCATTTATCCATTTCTCAAATAATGTTAGAAATTTTTCTGAATTTGGATCATCATTTCTGCTACATTCATTATACAATTCATTAATTAACGAGCTATACGAAAGTGCGTATTTTGGATGTTCACTTGATTTTAATCGAAGTAATGCTGAAACCATGAGATGATTAATCTCTACACCATAACAAATTTCTCTAAATATTCCACGAACATTTTGGCAATGTTCATTTTTTTTGAAATTCAAAATGTTCATCATTATGTCCTCCTAAATCAGGTTTCCATCCTGATGAACACCATAATACCATATTGTCATTTAATAAACGTCTCACTGCAAGAACATCCATGCTCCACCAAGAGTTTC